TTCCCATATATAATGCACATTACTTTTTCTATTTTTCTATTTTTCTACTTTTCCCATATATAATGCACATTACTTTTTCTATTTCATTACATATACATTATGGGTATATATTGCTTCATTTCCATCACCCGTTCCAAGACATGACTGCCTATCTTACATAGGTAGATTTTGTGAAGGCAATTCATTGCTTGTGCAGGGAAGATTCAAAGACCCCACTTTCCTTCACCCCAGAATGGGGCAATTTCCCTCTCTTAATGTTGGAAACTAAGTGGGCTACAGGGTGAGTCTTCCATTCTAAATGACATAATCAAGATTGCTACTTTATTTTCACCTGACAATTCCTTCCAGAGAATTTCCTCACATGAGTAAAGAAGGAGAGGAAAAATAAAATATCTTTTCTTTATGTAGACCCTCCTTCATGGGTCTACATAACAATAAAACAGGTGTCCCAGTGAGGTCTGTTCTGCTGGATCCTCTTCCCACCTGCAACACATTTATTCCTTTATTCCTGTATTCATTCACTTATTCATTACATTCATATCCTGCCAAAATCTGGGGACTCAGAGGTTTCCACAGTCACACTTGCTGAAGGGCTTCTTGCCGAATGAAGGAAGGGAGGAAATGGGGAGGCAGGGGAGAAAAGATGTCAGAGAGACTGATGTATTTATCCCACTGTATAAAATAAAGTATAATTTACTTTATACGGTGGGAAACACTGCAAAGGTATTCATTAGGAAGGGATGATAGGTCTCATAGGTATGATTCAGTTGTCATCAATTTCTCATTAACTGTTCCAGTTGTCCCTTTCCATTTTGACATCAATGTATAATTGTTGAAATGAAAAAAAAAAACCCACACATTTTAATCTGAATATTTCCTAGCATTTACATTTTTGTGCACGTTTCATACATACAGTGTGTTCCACAATATAATTGTTACTATGCACATTTTAAAAAAATATATATTCTTATACACATTTCCCCTAAAATTGATATTTGTGTAGTTGTCTCTATGAGTGCATGCATATGTGCAAAGTTAGAAACTGCATCACAGTTTGTGGATTTCACTGTGTAGCTGCGTTGCAGTTTGCACAGAAGCTGGGAATTGTAAATTGCCCAATTTCATATTAAAATACAGATCAAATGAACTTCTTCCTTATTTCTAGCACTAATATCAGAAATAAAGAAATATGCCCAATAGAAAGTGATCTTTTACGATGAACAGATACAGTCAAAAATCACATTAACAACTTTAAACAGAGTCTAGCAGACCTTAAGACATAGGCATCTGACTGAAGATTCAGATATTTATTAGAGCTTAGGCTTACATATGGTGAAGTTAGCTGTAGCCAATGAAAATTTATGTTATAGTATATTTCACGATCAACATTAACACTTGTTTCTAGAAAATATTCAAATGAATTCTAAAAGGAACAAATTCTATACCTTCATAATTAAGAAAAAGGAGTATCCACCATGGATAGATGATAGATAGATAGATAGATAGATAGATAGATAGATAGATAGATAGATAGAT